CCATTGTGAGTCCAGAAAGAACTGTCCCTGAGCTTCTGAAGCTTGGCGAATGTCTGAGTAGAGATTGCCCAATCGGTGGTTTCGTCCCCTGTCTATCCACTCCTTCACAAGGCATCACGGCCTCGACAAGTCTACAAGTTACACCAACAGCAGCACACGGCATATTTTGGTATCGTAGACGAGATTTCCTATGAATCACGAGGTTCGTGCCTGTATAACTATTCTCCCATTCAATGCTTCGTAATCTAAAACCCGTGTGCGAATTGCATCGGATATGTTTACCGCTCATCACGGCAATTGGATCTATATTTGTCGAATATACGTAATCTCCTTGCATCTCGATACAGTGAAACGGGCTGAAAAGGTCACGATGCCAGATGTTTAATTGCCAATGGCTTCTCGTCAAATACTGACGAGCTCCATTAAAGGTCATGTGTTGTACCCCTTGGAGCAGGGGAATAAACAAATTACGTACTAGTCTCGTTGCTTACAGGATACCAAAATCAACGTCTCAAAGCGATCAAGAAGCTAGGTCAAACTTGAACACTCCGACAACTCAACAAGACAGATTCCAAACATCCACTCCCGACTTTTCCGGTCGTTCCTCTTCCTTCCTGTGTCTCGCAATACGTCTATGACTCTCCTTCTTCCTTTCTCTGCTTTTCCTAATTACTTTCATCTATGAGACGAGAGACGACAAGTATAGACTCAAGCTCTATACCTACCGGGTAAAATCCAGGCACTGTGTATGGCCTTCTAACCACAGCTACGGTTGTCTTGAAGAAGCTGTTCGTAAGTTTCCCTCGGTTTCTTTTCGAGACTCTTCCAAAATGAACAAACGCATCGGTTCATGATGATGCTTGTTCTGCAAATCATAGCTGCGAAGCCGCAGGTGTATGGTTAATCAGCTTTGCATATTACGTGCCAACCTGTATCTCTTGGGCATGTCATCTTTTCTGAGGAGGTAAGGCAATATGAGCTTCTCGAGTTGTCTCTCTATTACACAACATGGTATTGCTTGCATGCGTTCTATGCCAGGCACAGGCTGGTTCCTTCAGAGACGAGCATGTTCTTGACGTAGTAAGGCAGCATGTATGTGTCACGGTCCTTTTGGAAGACCCAAAGGCCAGCTCTGCATGTATGAATCTTGACCACGAAGGCACATTACATCGTGGAAGGCTCACACGGCTTCGGCAGAATATTGCCGTAATCATAGTAGACACCATGAAATTTTTGAGTGTGACATTCATACCGCCAATATAGTCATCAACATTGAATCGTCGGAATAGGTTGCGGCAGGATCATTACCGTGTTCGGTACGATGATGGGTGTCGACGGGTAAGCCAAGACTGGAGTTATTCGAGCACGCTGAGGGAGTAAATGACCGCCCACCACTCGATTTGCAGCACTATTGTTCTGAAGCGCACCTCTATGTAGAATGGACGTGACATGATGAGATATGGGGGAATGAGACCAATACTCCTTATTATCTTGGAACTCTCCTGCATAACGCTCACAATATGTTCCTGACCATGGACTAGAATTTTTTCAACAATATGTCATGAGAATGACTTCATACAATGTGTCTGCATGAGAAATGATGATGATAGTTCCATTTTGCATTCTTAAAGCTCCTCCTATACTTTGCAGTAAGAGGCCCGATGGCGGTTGTCTATGGAGGGTGCACGTGACGACAGCCTCTGGTGACGGAACTCATCGGCTAAACCAGGGTGTCGTAAGTGGAGCACTCAAGCAGCTTCCAAAGAAAAATTACTCCCATGACATCGTGACGCCCAACGTCAACGCCAACTCATCAACCAGTCACCGAGAGAACATATTTTCTTATCGGGCGGAGATTTGTCGACATTACTTATCTCACCAGATTCTGCCACCAATTCCGATATATTCATAAGCCTTGTGATTTGGGCTGCGACTATTCGGCAATTCCCCTTCCACCAAAAGCTCTTCAACAGCTCTTAATACCTTGAACAATCGACTACTCGATACACAACACCTTCAGCTACTCAAGATGGTTACCCTTACCGAGGTCGAGGACGAGCACTTCCAGCACCCTCAGGCTGGTCCCGATGTTGAGGAGGACGATGACGACTACTCCGATACTGGTAATTAACAACCCCGCGCCTTTAATCGCGATATTGTGCATGCTAACAACGACCGCAGACTCCGAGATTTCCAACGAGTCCGACTACGATCCTTCAGAAGAGACTCTCGCTGAGCGACTATATGCCCTTCGCGACATCGTTCCCCCAACTACTCGCTCATGGATCTCCGGCAAGGCCAACACCATCGGTAACGCTGCCTGGAGCGTTCTCTCTTTCAGTGGCAAGGGCGCTTGGGTACTCACCACCTCTGCCCTATTCTTTGGTGTTCCCTTCGCCTTGTCTTTCGCCGAGGATCAACAGCTCACGGCTATGGAGCAAGAGTACAACATGCGACAAAGCGGCAGTGAACTTTTGACCGCTGGCTCCGAACAGAGCACTGCTGACCAAGTTGGCGCCGCCCTCGATGGCAAGCCTGCCCAACCCTCTCTGTAAACAAATAAGCTGGAGTCACGCAATCAAAAAACCTTGACCTTACGTTTCTGGGTATGAGGATATCTTAGACAGTGCCTTTTGTTGCTAAGGCGCAGTCATTATTGGGCCGGAAAATGCGGCTTTCCATGTGTACAATAATTGTTTACGGCGTATATGGCCGATGAAGACCTATGATGGATACAACTGGGTTTGACCGGGAGGAACGAGAAGCGCAACGCATCCACGGCGCATGGTTACCGGTGTAAAGTATAAGATGGGGTTGTTAATGGCTGCGATCTCATCTCCAGGAAAGGCAGTTTCACATGTATTTTGTCACATTAGAGCTGTACCATTGACGACTTATGTGTGAGCGTTATGTAAACCACAGCTTGTTCTGCCTTGGTATCGTGCATTGCTTCAGACAATAACAATGAATGGGGAAGTCATGGAATGTGATGAAATTGAAAAGAAGCCTCGAGCCACATCGGCTCGTTTGACCAAGCGTAATACTCTTGATGATTGTGATGACATATATGATCTTCATCAAGTTCAGGGTAGGTATTCTTGGCACTAACTTGCATGGAATGGATAGATCAGTATCAACTCTCTCAATTGCACCCTGGCAGACTAATTAGAGACTCTACGTATTCTCAGCCAACGCTGAATAAGTAGCTGACACGTAATACAAACAAAGCCAGCCATGGACTTCGTTGGATTGCCAAAGATAGAGGTTGTTTAAACCCCACGTTCCACGCTTTTGATATCGACGACTGACGATGTGCAAGCTTCACGCCCATCTGACTGGGAGCATCTCCCGCCGCGCTCTTCATGAGGTATGGCTACGTAAAAAGGAGACAGGCGACACCGATTTAGAAGATCCCCTGATCGTCATGCCTGAGGGGAAACATGATTACAACCTGCAAACGTTAGTCTTGCCTCCAACGATTGGCAGTAACAGGACTAGACACAAGCTGACTACCATTGGCAGCTTCTTCCCGCTTTTCAGCAGTTACATATATAACCTTATCACGGATGAGGAATCTGTTCGATATACTACAAATTCTGTGTTAACCGACTTTCTCAATGATGGCGTCTGCTATCTCGAGCTTCGAACAACACCACGTGCCACGCCTCAACTCTCAGCAGAGCAGTACATCTCAACTCTTCTTGATACGATCTCGTCATTTGAGTCTCAGAATTCCCAGCTGCACACTCGCTTGATCCTCGCTGTTGATCGACGACACACCCCCGAGCAGGCTGCTTCCACCCTGGAGCTTGCTCTGAGATACCGTGAACAGGGAGTCGTTGGCTTAGATCTCTGCGGTGATCCAACGGCGAGGCCAACAGGTGAGATAAGTGTCTTCACACCTGTGTTCTTGGAGGCAAGAAAGAAGGACCTGGGGATCACGGTTCACTTTGCCGAAGCTGAGGCGAGTGGGTCGAAAGAGGAGTTAAACACGCTGCTCTCTTGGGAACCGGGCAGGCTTGGACATGTGATCTGGGAGGACGAAGAGGCCAAGAAGGAGATCGCAAAGAGAGGGCTGTGTCTTGAACTATGCCTGAGCTGTAATGTTAGAGCCGGGATGGTGTTGGGCGGCTTCGAAGGCCACCACTTTGGGCACTGGAGAGGTGTCAACGGCCCCAAGATCTCACTCAGCGTAAGTTACTGCACTTGTGTTCATCAAGGAGAGAAACAGAAAGACTGAAAATGATCACAGACTGATGATGTGGGCGTGTTCGGAAGCCCTTTATCTAACGAATATAGACTCGTCGCGGAACATTTTGACCTTGACCGCCAGGCTATATGTGAGCTTGCGAGACAGCCTATTGACGGGATATTTGGAGGCGAACAGGAGAAAGAACGGTTGAGAGATATCATGTGGACACAGTGAGCTTGACAGCTGATATCGTTATTGAATGAAGGTGTCATCTTGTAGTGCCTGAAGCTTGCATACTATCGTTGCCATAGGGTGGCAGAAGACTTTGAGACCCCGGCAGAGAAAATAAAAGTAGTCGCATGGTCTGCTATGTCTATCTTTGAGATACACATAAGTTGTCCAAGTTTATCCTTAACTTGTTCAAGAATTTTCATCACTTTGGACAGTCATTATGACAACGCTAGGAGGCCAATGGACGTGGTATCAATATCGACGTTATCATTTAGGCATAAGCTATTAGAAAAGAGTCTCTCTAGTGAAGTTGTGTTTACTAGCAAGGCGTATTGCATCGCCCAAGAACAGCTATCGAGCAGTTGAAGCATCAATAGTCAATTCATACTGCTATGACTCGCTAACAAGGTATGAGGAGAGAAGTTGATATCAAAGCCAAATCAGGAGCATCTCGTGTTCTTCCATCGCATTACATATGGAACCACCCTGCCCAAACGCCGTACTTTTCTGGTTGTCGTCTCAAGTTAAAACGTTAACGTTAACCTCCCCGGTAAACAAACAAATTTCCGCAGCCTCATCATGAATGCATGCCAACTGGCGGAGTCTCAAGGTCAACACCTTCGACCCTGGCGCGCTCACCATCGCTCTGGCGGATGAGGTTGAGGAAGTAACGAGAGGCGCGCTCACTCTCGCCCTTGACCTTGATAGTCTCCTCTCGCTTTGCGCTCAAGTCCTTGAGACTTTGGTCAAGGCCGACCCGAAGGTTGTCAGCGGGAATGCGGAGGACCTTGCGAACGGAAGAGGAGATTCGAGAGGAGTTGGAGTGAACATAATCCAACTCTGCAAGCTGAGTCGAGATCTTTGTAGCAAGGCGAGGAGGCAGTGAGTTGGGAATCTGCTGCAGAACATAGGCAGAGGCAGCAACAGCTATTGACAATTAGTGACTTGGCATTCTTGGAATTCACATGGTTTACTTACCAGCCACGAGAATGCCAGGAATGATGAGCTGGCGTAAGTTCTCGTTGCTCAAGATGCGAGTTGCTGTGATAGCCTGGTCCATCCACGTGTTCATACCAATCATCCGGGGCACAACGGCGCCGGCAACTGTAAGGGCCATACCAGTGCCAGCAAACTTTTCCTGTCGCTGTAACAAGGTAGTCCAGTCGACAAAGTCGATCAGTTCTGTGGGAATTTCGACCTGACGAGCAAGAGCATCTCGCTTGCGTCGGAACATAACATCAGGTCGGAATTGGAGGTTCTGGAACTCATCACCAACGTGCAGGATACCCAGTTGCTTGATAGCATTGACGCCGTACACTGTCTTTCTGCGAGCATACTCTTCACAGTTCGAAACAGAATCTGCGATGCGAGACAGCATAGCTTCCTTGAGGTCCTCTGCATATTGGAAAGCGTTCCAGATACCGGGGTAAGGTACATCGTAGTGGCTGCTTCCAGAATGGAGAATGGCCGAGTTAAGAGTATTTCGAGTGTAGTCGTAGACGTCCTTGCATGTTTCCTCAACGTTGGCATCAACTGACTCGCTTACTTCGGTCTTTGCCCTTCGACTGGATTCCAGCTGAGGTTCAAGCTCCTTCAACTCCTGGGTCACTCGCTCCAGTTCCGATTGAGCAACTTCCTGATTGACATTTGCAAGAGTGTTGACATCATTCAAGATGTTGAGCAGATATGTTCGAGCAGGTGCAAGCTTCGATCGTGCACGCTTCTCAAGCACGAATCTTCGCAGCGATTGCTCCAGAGCCTCGAAGTCTCGCACCTTATCAAGATCCTTACCCTTACCCTTGTCATCACCATCACCAGGATCACCACTACCTCCGCTTGAACTGCCGCTGCCGCCAGGGCCGCCAGGAGGCGAGGGGCCGACAGGGATGGCGTTGCTAGACACGAAATGCACAAGCTCGGAGGACTCCTTGTGGGTTCGGGGACTGAGACCGGCAACCTGGTCAAGAACCATCTTCTCACATCGCTTTTTGTCTCGGATCACATCGAATCCGTTAACAACGATAAAGATGTAGGCCTTCTCAGCAGCAGCAGCCCAAATGAACTCCTTGGCAGACTGTGTAAAGTGATTGGCAGCGGAAACTACAAACACAACCACATCGATCTCTTCCTGTCGGGCAAAGATGGCAGTCGTTTTGGTTGTATCGGAGTTAAGACCAGGAGCGTCGATCAAGGCAATATCCACCACGCCATTGTTCAGTAGAGATTCGTCAATGCTTCGGCTATCCTTGACGTAAATCTTGCACTGAGTGTAGGTCTCGTTGTCGATGACAATGTTCTCGAGTTCCTTTAGTGAGAAAACATCGTAGGTCGACTCATCGTTTCGGTCGTAGGGCACGTTCTTATGCACTGCATGTACCTCTTCCACACCAGAGTTCTCTCTAGCATCAAGCACCTCACAAAAGATAGCAGTACAAGGCTGCTGATCCTCGGGAAGAACCTTTCGACGGAGGAGAGCATTGCAGAAAGTTGACTTGCCAGCATTGAGGTCGCCTGTGATAAGAACCTTACTTGCAGTGTCCTCAATTCGTTCGCGGAGAGCTAGTAGATGTTTGATGCTGGAACTAATTTTGCCGTCGAGAAGGGATGCGATGGAGCTCTTTTCCAATGAATGGACGAGCTCAGTCTGGTGAAGAGCACCGAGCTTAAGGTCGAGCTTCAAGATAGAGAACTCTTGAGCAATTTGTGGTGAAACGAGTCGGGGCTCAGGCGTGGATCGAACTTCAGCGGCTCGACTCGATTCGGCGGAACCGTCTTCGACCGTCGTCATGGCACGTCTTAAACCAGGGTTTCGGAAAAAGGACGAGCCTTTGCCTTCCATACCCGTGTGGGCATGGGCAAAGGCGGGCCGTGAGGAGTGTTCGGAGGAGTCGCGGCGAGCTCTTTGAACGGAAGGATAGTGTGCGGGCCAAGAAGCATTCATTTCTTGTAAATTTTGAAGCAGTTCGAGCACCTTGTTGATGGAACGGCCGAGGGTAGCACGATGAGCATTATACCACATCTGATGCACAGCACCCGACGCAGGCCGGTCGTGATGCATTGCCATATCCCATGCTGCGGCGGAACTCATGGAACGGTCATCGCCAGCTATACTTCCTCCATAGCCTGAGTCCACGTCAAGCATGCTCTGGAGACGGGCAGCATGTTCAGATGTCATACCATTTCCGACAGTCATGTATTGGACCCGAGAAGAGGACGAGTTTGTGGGTGGCGGAGAAGAGTGATTGCTGGTGGGCGCGTCGGAAGGGCCATGATCGTTATCACCATCAGAATCGGGTTCCTGGTGCAGTCGGGCCTTGCCCTTTCCGTTACTGCTGAAATAATCTTGGCTCATGTTGAATCGGTTCGTAGCAGTTCGAGCGGCATATTTTGGATGAGAAGCGAGGGGAAGAAAATATCCTTGGAACCGTGATGCCGATGTAATTATGGCGGTCGGCTGGAGAGGCGAATAAGAATCATTGACAAGTCAGTCGAACGACCCATTTCTGCATGATTTTTGCTACGTACCGATTTCCGATTTGATTGGCGAAATCTGGAGACTTTGGGCGCTTGGACCAAGCGGGCTCTTATCGTGCCGTATCGTCTCGTGCAAGCAACCTATGGAAGCGCTTTCAAGGTTGGCCCAGTCCGATTACGTAGTGTCGGGACATCCGTAGCGCGACAAGGCCAGCGACTCTTACCACGCATCTGGATCAAGGCTTGATCTTTTTGTCGCTGCCTTGCGCATTTCTGCCGCCTACTTATTTACGATTCGCAAGGACTTCTCCCCCTAGAACAACTCTCCGACCTCGCTTTACCAAGATCTACCCTCTTTCATCCGTCAACCACCACTACCCCCGCACATCATGAATGTAAGAACAGCGGTGTCGTGCGACAATACGGCGAGCCCATGATGGCTAATTCACTCACGATATAGATCCTCGAATGGGCTTTCGGAAAGCGCATGACGCCCGCGGAGCGTCTACGCAAGAACCAGCGCATGCTAGATAAGGCCATCCGCGAACTTGATCAGATGCGCGTCAAGCTGGAGAAGCAAGAGAAGACCCTTATTCAACAAATCAAAACGAGCGCCAAGAATGGACAGATGGGAGCTTGCAAGATTCAGGCCAAGGATCTGGTCCGCACGAGGCGATACGTCGAGAAGTTTTACAGCATGCGCAGTCAATTACAAAAGATTTCGCTTCGCCTTCAGGTAACTGCATACATTGGATACTAGTGTAGACCAGAGGCTGACCAGATGCGACACAGACATACAGAACGAACGAACAAATGATGCAGGCTATGAAGGGCGCTACCATGGCATTGGGAAGCATGAATAAATCGATGAATCTTCCCCAGCTTCAACGAATCGCCATGGAGTTTGAACGCGAAAACGATATCATGGACCAACGACAAGAGATGATGGACGATGCCATTGATGATGCCATGGATGTGGGAATCGAAGAAGAAGGTGACGAGGTGGTGGAGCAAGTCTTGGAAGAGATTGGCGTGGACTTTAACCAGGCGGTAAGTCATAAAGGTGATGCTATGCAAGCCTCGTCACTAATACAACCACAGCTCGGTGAAACACCTACTGCTCTGGGAACTACGGCGGTACCTGAGGGTAAGATCGCTCAGGCGGTTGGTGGCGGAGGCGGCGGCGGTGGTGATCCTGTCGACGACGACCTTCAGGCAAGATTGGATAGCTTGCGAAAATAGGTAGACTGACAGGGGTTCCTTGAAGCCTGAGGAGCTTTGTTTCAATGATCACCGCCATATCAGTTTAAAGGAGGGTACGCTACCATTGTTTGGACCCTTCAGGCTACAGAAGATGGACATATGTCCGATGTCATGATCTATCTTTGGCCATAGGAAGAAGGAAGGGAGCTTCATGGTACTATGTTTGTTCCGGTGCATTGGTGTCTGGAGAATTGTCTTACATACCATCAGCTTTGCAGGTGTTTCTGTGCTTTATAGAAAACAGTACTCGCTGCTTGTCAGGTCTGTTGAAAACGTGGGCGACACTTGACCAACTTGTCAGTCGATTTCCGTCTACTTCAGTCTATGTTGACATACTCGCACTATATAAACATCCTCAATTTGGATGATGGGTAAAGTAGAATCTATTAGGTTACACAAAGCGGTGCCTTTTGCACAAAGGGCAACCTATCTGGGTATGGCTTTGACGGCAGCCCCAGAGCTCCACGTGTACAGCCGGCAACGGCTTTGGGAAAAGAAGCTGGTCGCATGAGAACGGATTTGATCTTGGGATAAATTAACTCCGAGCCTGTTAGCTTCATCTGACTGACGAGAGCGCAATTGTGGGATTGTTTAGATGCTAGTTCCGGATGTCTCGGGTCGAGGATGGCTTCCTTCGCACCGACTTACTGTTGGAAACACATATCAGACGTGTCAATAACTAACACGCAAAATCAGGGTCCAGTTAATATGCGTTTCCCAGAGCTGATTCATTGCTAAGATCGACACCTCCATTTCTATTGAAACCCAAAGCCGAGAATCGCAAATTTGCCCAAGATCCATTTGTCTGCACAGCGCTAAACAGTGCGGTCGTGAACCAGTAAACGTCACTAGCCCGTGGATACGTCAGTGGCCAACAGCCAGACATAGCGCACAATCAGATCTTGAGGCACCTCCAGCTTAAGCGCAGCCCCCCGCCCCCACTGACCCTCACCAATCCGTCCCCGTTACACCAGCTGCAGTGCGTCAGGTAGCTGCGCCCTCCACTCCATCCGTTCACCTCTGGTTCTAGGTAGTACTTTATTAGCCCAGCTAATTCATCCAACGAAACGTCCTAAAGCAGCAACCTTGCCAACTCTTCATCAACTACGACACGACTTTCTGTAGACTCGCTGGCTTGTATTAAGCCTTAACTTGATCCGCTTACTTTGCAGGTGCAGAGCGTCCCTCTCTGTCTTCTGAGCATTTTCAAGTTCAACTCTCCAGTGTTGAAATAGTCTTTACACATTCAGCGCCAGGTACGTTCGTTTACTGCTCCCCTCAACGTACTGCACTGCTTTATTGGAAGAACTATCAAGTTACTTCGATACATGTGTTCCCTCTGTTCTTAGCCCCAGCCGCATTATGGTCCTGTTTGTTGGGCTCGTGGATTATCAGATCTATACGATTACCTATTCCCCGCCAGCGCAGCCGTTTCCCTTGTGGCGTCTACGTCACGTTTCTTGATTTACGATGCGCTCAGCATCATGCCTCTGCCTCATCATACCCAAGGGTCGACACGGCTCATTGGTGTTGCATCGAGCTCAAGTACGGCCCTGTCCCCGCCGTCTGATAGTCCCAATGGTGTGAACTGTGGCGATCTCCAACAACTATCACTGGGGGGACAACAGAAGTCATACTTATCAGTCAGCGCGCTTAGCTACATCATCAACGTTTTCCTTACTACCTGCACGCACTCATTTCTCTATTCCTATCCTCCTTTATTTATCATCCTTGGTGACATAGAATGATGTTCTCGGTTCATCCTCTCTAACTCTTGCAGGTCCGTCTTGCGCCGACGAATTAAACACGCCAAGCTGGTCTCGACCAGCACCCCGCCCCTACACTTACCACGACGGTATATTTCCACAGCTACCCGCAACGTTCGCGTGTAGCGATTCCGCAAAGTCTTACTCCGACGACGATAGAACCGATACCAAGCTCCAGCCTTCCACAGCATCAACAGTGCTGACATTCCCTCTCTGCGCAACGCCACCTAGTATTCTCTTGTCCCTAACACAAGCTGGCGAGCAACAAGCGTCGCAGTCTCTCCTCGACTGGAGGAAGTCTGCTGAATAGAATGTTTGGCGGCAGTTCCAACAACTCAGCGGGCAACAAATCCGAGAGCGATTCAAAATCCGATAAATCCCCTTCTCCTGAACCTGGCCCAGGCCCCAGCGCTCCGGCTCCAATTAAGACGACCGATCAGGCTGCAAGCGGTGAGAAGCGCAGTGGAAATGGCAGTCCTCCTACTCGACAAGATACCGGTGGATCGACCGACAAGAAACGCAGAAGCAGCAGCGTCAGTAGTCGGGCTAGCAGTCTTCTGGCCTCCGCCAAAAACTCGCTCAACTTCTCTCAGAGCAGTCGCAGCGGGGGCTCTGAAGTGAGCTCCCAGACACCTCTCCAGAAGCTTGGCAAACAGGATCCCGCTCTTGCAGTCCCTCAGGGTCAACATAATAACTCTGCGGGAGAATCCATGCCGGGTCCCAAGTCTACGTTCCGTGTCGGTGTTTGGGAAGATAGGAACAAGAAATGCCGTCGCACTATGGAAGACACTCATGCCTTTCTTTATAACTTTGTGCAGACTCCAGCCTTAAATGATGTGTCTTTAAAGGACAAGCCTGAAGGTGAGGATCGGGAATCTGTTTCGTCCGACATGGTTGAGTCAGACAATGGTTATTTTGCTATTTTTGACGGACATGCTGGTACATTTGCAGCCGACTGGTGTGGCAAAAAGCTGCACCTTATTCTGGAGGATATCATACGCAAAAACCCCAATGCTCTGATTCCTGAAGTCCTAGACCAGGCCTTCACGGCCGCTGATGCACAGTTGGAAAAGTTACCCCTAAAGAACAGTGGTTGCACTGCAGCTGTTGCAGTTTTACGCTGGGAGGATCGAGCGTCGAATGACCGATCAGCCATCAAGTCCGCTAGGCCGGAAGAGCCCGTTGAAATGGACAAGGCAAAAGATGGAGCTTCGAATGACGAGGCAACCAAAGCTACAAATTCAAAAGGAAAGGGTAGCGGACGACAAAGGGTACTGTACACCGCAAATGTTGGTGATGCCCGTATCATTCTTTGTCGAGGTGGAAAGGCTCTGAGACTTTCTTACGACCACAAGGGCAGTGACGAAGTCGAGGGTAAAAGGATCGCCGCTGCCGGAGGCCTGATTCTCAATAACCGTGTCAACGGTGTTCTGGCTGTAACCCGGGCTCTTGGTGATGCCTACATGAAGAAGCTTGTCACGGGCCACCCCTATACCACGGAGACGGTCATTCAGGCCGAGAGTGACGAGTTCATTATCATTGCTTGCGATGGAGTAAGTCAAGCCCCAGATGCAAGTGGAAACCACGAGATGCTAACAACCACAGATTTGGGACGTATGTAGTGACCAGGAAGCGGTTGATCTTGTGCGCAATGTTGAGGATCCCGTATCGGCCTCAAAGCAGCTTGTTGACTATGCACTAAACCGCTTCAGCACTGACAACCTGTCTTGCATGGTCGTCCGACTGGACCAGAACAAGGAGGCTGCAGTGGAGGTGGAAGGTGCAGCGTCCCAGGTCAGTGAGGCAGACAAGATCGTCAGCGAGACTAAACAAAAGATTGCAGACGGTAGCACGCCCGCCGTCGGTGTATCAGCGACTAGCAACGCGCCCCAATCCGAACCCCCTATAGCTGTTCAGGAAGGGAGTTTTGTGCCAACTTCACTGGATGAAGTGGTTACAGAGGAGCCTCCTCATGTTGCAGATCCAAAATCGGATGAGGTTCCTATATTGAATAAGGCCGCTGTTGAAGAGGCCCGCAAGGATAAGCCAGCCGCAGACAAGCCAGCCGCAGACAAGCCGGCGGAAGAGAAGCCCGCTGAGCAGGCATAATTCAAATACACTGGGGTAGACATGGGGCACTATAGGCATACCTCAAACTACTTACTTGGTCTCAGAGCAAGAACTTCACCTTTCAGTGAGAACGGGTTAAGGATCTAGCGGGTTGTCAGTCTCTCCACCTGGACCATTCCTCATCTACTTGGACCAGGGCTCGCAAAGTGCGGTGATATGATGTGTATACAAGGTGCTGTGATGGGATTCATGTCTGAGTGGGTTTACACAGAGCTGAAAGGAGCTTGATCAGCCTCGAGTTGTTTCTATAGGTTAGCTGAGGAGCGCCCTCGTACATGCGAAAGGAGGGGTGACACTGCCGATGCAGCACAATGGTGTATTGATAATAACATGATTACGACTTGGAACAAGAGTCGATCTTTCGAGTTCATTGCTTGTATCTGATACTTGTTGCTAGGTCATATATGCATTGCCATCTACTCTCCTAAGCCAACTATGCCTCTATATCTGTATTGTAACTTTGATGTACAATCCTGTTAGGCCTGCAGCCGAAGCGGCTCGTGTTGAATGCTTTGATTAGAGTAAGTAGGTATGGATCCCACTAACTCATTTGTTCTAGGATGCTTCGACTGAGCTTCCATCCTTCTAGCTAAGGGATAGGGATAGACTGGTACAGATACTGAATCGCTAGTTTCGCGTCAAGCTCCATTCTATTGACCACAAGTGATTGGCAATTACAGCGTCACCCACTAGACTATGTTGCAGACAGTCGTAATTGGGACCGACCAAACAATCTCCTGCAGACTCATGATGTCGTTCAGCGTAGACGACCCCGTCGCAGGATGTCGCGTGCCAACGGTTGTATTCTGACTCTGACGTATGTTGACAAGGCGACGGGTTCTGCTTCCAAACGTTCCGGAGTCGGTAAAACCGACGCCAAAAATGTGTTAACCTTGTGCACTTAGATTGGGGGTGGAGAAGCCGGGGCGGGAGGGGAGGTTGTCAACAAGGGTATAAGGGCATAAGGTGTGTATGAAGGAGGAAGCTAGCTAACTGGGCCCTAAGGGCAGGCTACATACAGAGGGATGTGGGCCTAAGGTATCCACATCTCAACAGAGGTTGCTTTGTTGCTGGAGTGGCTTTGGAGGCTTTTTGATGGTGGCTTTGATCTACCAGAATTGGAACTCTGGATCAAACTTAGATTGATTTTGATAGAGAACGAGTATTGATGTACTCTGCGAGTCATGATGATATCTTTTCTTGTCTGGCTGGTTTGCATCATAACTGCCTTGTGTCTTTATTTTTTGGTAAGGTACTATGTGCACTTCCTACGAGGCGACAAGAGAGATGAGGCTTAGTCGTCATCTCGTCTAGTTGCCGTCGTTTCGTTTCATGACACAGCACTCTTTTCGTCTATGTACAAGTTACTTTGCGGTGCTGTTTACTGTCTCGTCAAAATTTCTTGGTTTTGTCATGCAGCCAACCCTAAGTCGTCGTTCAGTAGCACTGTATCGCCTTGTGCTCGCAACTTTGTGTGATGGCCTCCACTGCTACGTTGGGCATAGTAGTTCTGGATTGGGTTGGTTGTCTTGGTATACCCGATCCCTGACGGGAACCCAAGACGCTACCTATTCATCATTCATTCCAGAGCGAGACTCCCTTTTTGGCTGGCGCGCAATTTGCACTCTAATGATGGTCAACGTTGGAGTAATCGATTGACATTTTATTTATGTCATGACTGGGACGATTTATCAAGCGTTGGCGTGCCAGAACCTTTCCCTCTTCCTTTCTTTTGGAGTGGTGCCATGCTTTTCTTCTTCTTCTTCTGTTTGAGTATATGTCTCGGCCCATGCATGGTATGAAAAAGCACCTGTTGTGCGTTACCCGATCTTAATTTGTTGCTGCTGAGTTTAATAACTTTACCTACTCGATTGATCGACGCCTCAACCTGGGGGGATTTGCAACGGTCCTCTTCAGAAAACGTATTTTTGGAAGAAACAAAGCCAAAGTTGAAGAAGGAAACTTCCGTTCTCTCTAATGAAAATCAGATAAACCTGGCTGGCATACACACAAGAGACCAACAAGTAAACAACGCAAAGACGCAGCAGACCATCCCAACACAATTCTACTCATTGGGTTCATGGTTATTTACTATCTTATTAGATATACCGAGATCCATGTCAACTAGACAGCCTTGCCCCTGAAATCTGGTGCTGCCCGCCCCTTGACCCGCAGGTGCTAAGGTAGAGGAACCCACCCACCAATTCCCACCCGCCAAACCTCATCCAGTCGCCAGGCATCTCGACTCGAAACGACCCCGAATTATACTGGAGTGGACTAGCTCTACTACCCTCTCGACTGATTTGGTAGACTCCCCCGTCTTTCCGGAGAGCTTCATTTCTAGTTGTTCTCTTTCTTTCCCTTTCGCCTTTGCCTTTTCGACCTCGTCCTCGAATCTCGCCCTTTCGAATCTCGACCGACCTGGAGCATCTTTGCTCGACCCATTTGCAGCTGCTTTTGTGCTTCTGCTTGCCTTTCCTTTCGCTCCTTTCTATTAATTAATTTTTCGACCTTGCGAGTCGGCGGCGTCAATTTAGCCTTTCCAGCTCCCGCTCTTTTTTTCCCGCTTTGTCTCTCTTTGATCTACTTGTAACGGAGGCACCATGTCGTTGAATGGCTTGGATGATCCAAAGGTTCAGGGAGCCCACGAGGCCGCTGTCGCTGAACCGGGAGGATGGTACGTCTAACAATCATTTTCCATGCTCGAAATGAACCGTTAGCTAAATATTCAGGTTCCTCCTCAAGTATGCGAGTCGCGATGAAGTCGAATTGTTAGGTCGCGGCTCCGGCGGCGTTGTCGAAGTGCGCAACAATGTCGCTGGATACGACGAGACGAGTCCTCTCTACGGTTTCTTGAGATATCGAAGAAGGAACGTGGTAATTAAGTATCTGCCTGAAGATTGCTCTCGTCTTATTCAAGGTCCGTACTCATTTTCTTCCCCCAGCCTAGATCCGTTCGCGGCTTGATACACTGACACGTTTTCGATATATAGCGAGAGTAGCTGTTCACTTCAACGCCGTCTGCGACCGATTCTCACCCTACGATACCATTTTCGAAATCACCGAAGCCAAGGAACTTAAGGATACGAAACTATCGGCCGCATGCTCCCTGCATGCCGCTTCAGGGTCAAATTCATCATCTTCAAGCTCGTTACGCCGAAGACGACTAATGGAGATTGCAGAGGAGGAGGAAGAGGAGCAGCAACAACGCGCCACAAAACGCCAATCAGTTGCCGAGGACGACGAAGACGGCGACATTCGACCTAAGACAGCCAAGACAAGTCATGACACTGTCTTGCCTACGGAGACTGTCACGCTAAACTCAGAACTTGCCGCATCTCCAGAGCATAGCAAATTCACTGACGCTTCAACATATGAGGTACCCAACTTTGTTGGCGCTGATGACAGGCCCATTTCTCCTTCTCAGTCAGAAGCACAGCCGCGAATGTCATCGCAATCAGGCCGACCCGATTTGTATTCCTATTCATCATACAACTACGGAAAGCCTAAAGTGAAGCTTGGACCGCGCCCCTCGCTTGATACAAACGGAAGACCACGCACTGCCGGCGCATATCGCCCAGTTTCTCAGATGCCTTCCGGCTTCAAGTTGTTTGGTAAGGGCTCTAAAAAGGAGAAGAATAGGGACGGGCCCGCCACGGCTGAGGATACTTCTGTCGAGGACAAAGACACAGCGACTGAACAGGACGGACTACAAATTGTGCATACAGAACTCACGCGCCCCGCAACAAGCTCTGGAGTATCTATCCCTGGCTCTCCTGTTTTGCCTATGCCCCCACCCGCCAAACCGACCATTTCACCGGAAAAGGCGAGGTTAATGAAGGCTATGAAGCTCCGAGAGAAGAAGAAGGCAAATATGGCAGCTGAGGCGGCAGATGCTCCGTCACCTCCTCTTGAATCCCCCGGATCTAGCGGTGGCGATTCATCTACAGACCGAGTAGAGGATCATGAAACTCAACTCGAAACGGAATCCGACCACCCATCCATCTCAAATGCCGACTCAGGCATTGGATTGGATGCGTCTTCAGCGTCTATGAATAATGATCAAGCTTCCGATCTTGCTCAGACCGATTCTCATCCTGATAGTCCAGTCATTGCATCTTCCGAACCGGAGATATCTACCAAGGCATCTTCACTTTCCGAATCAACTGACGAAACCCTGCACCCAAAGAACGAAGATGAACATGACCTGGACGAAAACGAGGAAGTTGACAATGTCGAAGCCTCTAGTACACGAAGAAGTGAAGAAATTGTTACCGCTGAAGAGTTGACGCCAGTGATCGACTCCCTTCCAAGCAAAGATGAGGAGAAGATTGAGGATACAACGCCAGAGCCTTTACCAGAGACTGATACCAATATTCCAGCTCTTGAAACAGCAGTCTCTACTGCTAACAGCCAGCCCACAACGGACCATGCTTCTGAAGCATTGGAGACAACTGAGGTTTCGGCCAACATCAGCAGAGTGGACGAGCCGCTATCCCCTACCATTGACACATCCAAGATCCTCAAGTCGAAGTTCTCGACTCAGGACCTGAAGACGGAACCAAGTCTAGCATCTAATTCCCCTAACCAAAATGCCCGCGAGAAAAGCCCTGTCATCGTAACAGAAAAGGATGAGGAGGAGGAAAATAACGAGGAACTGCCTGAAACAAAGCAGCAAAAGCGTAAGACCAACATCGAGCCTATCAAAACGGACTTTGCCGAAGACAAGGAACGTCTGTCTGACGATGAGGACTTTATGGAAGAGCTGCATAGCGCGACACTTCATGAGGCGAAACCGATGACTGTTGCTAAGAGCCCTGTCACTCCAGTTTTTCCCAGCCCAACGAAGGGCGAACGATCTCCGACCATCGTCCGCACCGTCTCGAACCCTGTCCACGGCAAGCTTCTTGCCCCTGGCGACGTGACCACAAGCTCAGCGCGATCTGTGAGCTCAGGAGCTGCTTACTTGCACAAGGTCG